GAAAAAGTCCCTGTGAAGTGACGGATGCGGGAAGTTCACAGGTTTTCCCTATTCACTGCCTTCTCCACGTAAGACCATTGCCTCTCGTTCGCCTGGACAGCGAAGACCTGAACATCCGCTTGGGAAGAAACTTTGAATGAGAAGTTTTGAGACAAGACACTGAAGGAAAAGGTGGAAGTGACGAACTTCGGAATGAATTTTCTTCTCGAAGTGAATTAAGACGTCTGCCTAGATTTTAACCTTCTTTATCTGTGTTCGTCCGCAGCAGGAGAGCGTTGGAGAGAGGGGTACGATGCAGGCGCGCTACCCCGTGTCTAGCCAAAGCCCTCTAGGCGTAGTGCCTTATATCACCGGGGATCAAGGCTTTTATCGAGCCGCTGCCGGAGGTGGATATTCCGGTATGCCTGCGCCTATGAGCATGTACTCTCACGCAGCGCACGAGCAATACCCCGGCGGCATGGCCCGCGCATACGGGCCGTACGCCCCTGCGCAGCAGCCCAAGGACATGGTCAAACCTCCGTATAGCTACATCGCGCTCATCACCATGGCCATCCAGAACTCAGCCGACAAAAAGATCACGCTGAATGGGATCTACCAGTTTATCATGGAGCGCTTTCCATATTACCGGGACAATAAGCAAGGCTGGCAGAACAGCATACGGCATAATTTGTCGCTCAACGAGTGCTTTGTCAAGGTGCCAAGAGATGATAAGAAGCCTGGTAAGGGCAGCTACTGGACTCTAGACCCGGACTCATATAACATGTTTGAAAACGGCAGCTTCTTGCGACGGAGGCGCCGCTTCAAGAAGAAGGACGTGCTGAGGGACCGAGAGGAGCGGGACCGGCAGGGCAAAGACAGCCAGGGACAAGCGTGCGAGCAAGACGCGCAGCAGCCAGTGAAGCTCCGGGATATAAAGACCGAGAACGGGGCCTGCACGCCCCCGCAGGACAGCACTTCACCCCTCAGCACCGTGCCTAAAACGGAGAGTCCAGACAGGAGCGGTGGGAGTGCGTGTAGCGGGAGTCCTCAGTCGCAAACGCCACAACA